CATAGATGTTGAAACTACATTACACACCGACATGTATGCCTTTTAGCACCTGTATATATGTAGTGTACCATGTTTCAACTTTCATTTTCATACTTTGTGTAAAACAACTTTCCATTCATCCTTCAGTTGGACATACACATAATGTTACTTGTAATACACGTTAGTTTTATTGCTTTGACCTACCGGTACGTACACGTAAACCAGGGGGCTATTTTTACACGAGGTCAGCATTAAGGATGTGACTTTTGCGTTTAATTTTTTAAGCATTTAGCAAAATAGAGTTAAAACAACATTTTAATTTATGCTAAGCCATTTGACAAAGGCTGCCACCTCGCTATTTTCTGCATTTTCCTCAGTCATACTGATGGTCTGCATTTTCTTCAGTCATACTGATGGTCTGTATTTTCCTCAGTCATACTGATGGTCTGCATTTTCCTCAGTCATACTAATGATAAATGTACATGTGCATGGACATGGACATACGTACTTTTCAGGGATTAAAGTGGACTCTGACAATTTTGCCTGAAATTTGAAGTAAACGTTAACAAAAATATATACACATGTGTGGCACTAACACAATTTGAAATCAGGCAATGGCAGGAGGACTGATACCAATGCAGGCCTTCTGATTTGAGGCGTGCGATCGCACCCCCACGCCATCACACGCCTAAAAGCTTCCTGAGAAGTGCGAACAATTGCACGCCTGAATCCCTCAGTACCGCACACTTCGGCATACAGAGTTACGGCATAATTATACTTCATAATTTGTGAAAAATAATGTACAATGTACGTTGGTGAAGAGAAAATGGCGTTACTGTAAACCAAGATGAATATTATAAAAAAATATCAGATTGTTCAGTCCCAGTTTGGACCACAGAATCACACGCCTACAAAAATCACACGCCCAAAAAATCCAGGTGACTGCAATGGCAAGGTACATGTACTTTATAGTCTGCGAATTTAAGTTTAACACAATTGAGCTCCTACATTTGTTTGCTCATTTCTTGACTTCATATTCACTTAAATATTCGCATAAATCTTTATTCACGTGATGTACAGGAGCATAATAAGTTCAGGTAGAAGCACCTGTTCATTGACATACATTTACAAGCATAGAGCAAGGAAACACCTTGTTACAACTCAATGGAAATACATGTACAAAGTTACTGCATAGATCTATGCATTTATAAGTACTTGTCAACCTGTTCATGAACGGTCATCATTGATGAGTCCTGCTGTTTGTTATGGTGCCATGGTACACTGTACAATGAAGTTATGTGCTCTGACACCCACCAAGGCTTTTAATACTACTGTGGTGGATGACCTTAAAACCCAGACAAAGGGTTAGCACCTATGGTGGTGTGGTCATTTGCCCAAAACTTAGAGTCAAAGCCTTTGTATTAAATATCACCAACAATTGTTACACGTTCCGGTATGTACATTGTACATGTACATATATACACAGCCCACCTTGGTATAATTTATAAATGAATGAATAATATACCGGGAGTTTTGGTAGTTAACTTTTTCTGGAACTTTGTAATGACAATAGACTTTCAAGAGACGCAGGTTCTTCTGTCAAAAGTACATGTGCCGGTACACATGCCCCCCCCCCCCCTTGCAATTCAACTTATAACTTATCATAATACCAGGTGAAAATGAACCGACATTCTGAAAGCCTCAGGCAGCCTACAGGTGGGTCGTAAAACAAGGCGAGTCACCGCAGTTTGCTTTCTGATCTAACCGATACAAGTAGTGGGCCCTGACCTAATCTGGCATTCTCGCTGCATGTAAGCTACATGTTATTGTTAACATTGAGGTGTTCATTTGACTGCGCAAAGCCTCAACAATTACCCCTTTCCAAACGCAGCCCATGTGCACAATGTGTAACTCATTGTTCTTTGACAATGTGTACAGACATGTACTGGCAACTACATGTACATACTGTATGTATACATGTACACTTCTAGTCTACCAGCACGACAATGTGTAATGTTGATTTGCTTTTCGCTTCATAAGTAACAAGAATCCAAACTAAGTGCATTCTACTTGAAGTTAGATAATGAATAGTAAGGGGAAAGGGGGAAACAATCAGCAACTAATCCACCCCTCCCCACCCCTTCCAGTTCCAGCCCCAACCCCCAAAACTTTATGGCGAAGGGAACAAACAAACCAAAAACAGTTTTCTCCCAATAAGGAAGCTCTTTCAAAATCCAACAATTGCAGTTCAGACGTGTTTCTAAAGGCAGTTATTTACAGAAGTCCTGCACGAATCCGAACCGTATCCGCATTATGCAGGAAATGGAATATTTCCTGATGAAACTCAAACCCCATGTACCGTACACGGCCATGGTAAAGACCCATGCAGCGGTATCTGACACTTTAACCTAACTGCATCCTGATCTCAAAAGAAAAGTTCCTGTGGAGGGTTGAGTATCAGCACTCAAGGCTTTTCAAGCCAATGCAGTACATTCCTGTACATGTGTGCAGTACACTGTTTGAATCTGCAGTTTCCCCAAATCCTCACCAAAGTACACAAGGCAATTCCAACATTATAAATGTACACTTTATGTGCGTGACAGAGCCAAATAACCATCTTCTAATAAATGATTGAAAGAAACGATCCAACACTCCTAGTCTGTTGTCTTCTTGATACAAGATGATGGATATGTACATTTTTAATATTAGGGCCTACATTTTCCGGTTTATTCACTGAGTTATTAACCCTCGCTCTCTTACAGGCCAATGACTCTACAACATTTTTAAAAACTAGAGTCCATTAATAAGGGAATAAATGTGTGCTCCGGAGGTTTTTATCACTCTGTTTAAGACCGCTTAGAGTCTGGGTGCTGATAATTACCCGAGCCGGAGGCGAGGGTAATTATCAGCACCCAGACTCTAAGCGGTCTTAAACAGAGTGATAAATACCGACCGAGCACATATATTCCCATTCATAAAAAAATACCTTTTCGGTAAAAAAAAATCAAATAATTTGTTAGAAAAATCCCAATTTTGTTCAACAAGTTCACTTCATGTTTTTGAAACATCCCTCTAGCTAAATAATGGAGTGTTCAGCTGATGATTAAGATGTAAACAACCCTTTCATGGAGATTGACGCGAGCGTGGCACGTTCTGTGTGATGTCGTGAAGAACGCACCTGGGGCGTTGCGTTTTGAATTTAGAACTATAAAATTCTGACTCGCTGGTAGTGTTGCGCATGCCTACGTGAGGATTGTGAACGTTCAACCAATAAAACGGTAAGAGGCACCGGATTTTTAGGAGTCCACATTTTATTGTGACACTGGAAAAGTGTTTAAGACCAGCTAGCCATGTCTTTATCATCTGTTTAAGACCGGCCACATGACGGGCTCTCGACCAATAGGAATAGCTAAACTGTCTGAGGTATTTATGAATTAGCCTTAACACACATTGTACGCTAACTTCTTGAAGCAATATGCTTCAGACTACGATCAGAAACAGGACAAAGTCCTGGCAATTCTGAGAAGGGCCCAGTTGACAATGATACTGGCTGATGATTGCTTCTCCATGGGAAACACAGAAAAGGCTTGGAAAAAAAACCAAGTGCAGTTAAATTTCAAATGAGAACTTGAAACTCTGCAGGTGAAACAACCTGGACCTCCATTGGGACGTTTGAGAATTTAGGTTACACGTACATGTACAAGACCTTGGTTTGAAGACCTGTACATGGACCGTTACAGAAACCAGCGCTATAAAGCACGAAGGGGCAATTCCATTAGAAACTTGGGCTTGCTGATCAACAAACAAATAAATTAAAGTCCACAAAAAAAATTGTTGGTAAGCATCCACGCCCGACCCAAAAAATCTGTCCGCCCTTGATATTTTTTTTTATCTTTGTTGTTTTTGGAAAAAAACCAAGAAGTTAAAAATCAAGCTAAAACAACAAGAGATCTGGAAATCCATCGGGATTCCGCCTTTTTTCGAGCAGACGTGATTTTTTACTCGTATCGACTGCCCTTAAACATTGTGATAGTGCCTAGGGAACGCTGATGTGAATAAACGCCTAATCTGATTGCCAGACAGCTGCTTTCGAGATCAAGGTGCGGCAAAATCGTTGACACGTGATGCATATATCGATCATATCTAAACTGCTTTCCGCCCGGTCCCTTCACCATCAGTATGGTCCGTGCAGGAACCAGTCCACGCATAACCTAGTTCCAGACTCTCCACTGTCGTTCAAAACACTCATATTTACACAAACTAGAACCAGTCTATTCATATTATCTTAAACGATATCGTGCACGGTATTAACAAAATCGCACTCGATCTCAAAAGACTCTCTCCGTGATCATATTACATTATTAGGCACTTACTCTTTGTTTTTGCATTAGTACACGCTGAGCACCATCACAATGATGTCACTGCCTCGCCATTCAAACGAATTGGGAGTTCAACATGCCAACGAACCCGAGGGGCGCACTCGGAAAAGAACAGAAACTTTTACTTTTCACCCTAATCATAATTAAACCTTAGTACCATCATCTTAATTCTTGATCTTTACTGGAGACGGAGGTGGCGTATTTGGTATTAAAGTTGGGGCAAATTTCGGCAATGTTGCCAGTAATCAGTGGTGTAGTATTAAGTTTATCTAAACTGTTGAAATACATCTCTGGTAATCTCAATAAATTTATCAATAAAAAAAAAAAAAAAAAAAAAAATCCTTACCGAATTCCGAACCAGAAAATTGAGATCAAAAGGATGCTATTTAAAACTATTTTGAGGCCTATTTTGTTTATATGGACAGGGAATGGGGCTCTACACTCACACAATCGCCATTGTGTACACATGAGGCTTATACGGCTTATTAAAGAACAGAAAAAATGCAGGACCAGTTCACGGACACGGCTATTTATTTATTAAATTTAAAAGCAGTAAACTAAAAACACTCTTTTTTATAATTCATTTGACTTGTCTTTGAAATGAACAATATCGAAAAACAAAACATAACAGTTTAGACCTACCTCATGGTGAACTATCTGGTCCTTTGCACCCAGTAAAGTTGGATGATGTACCGGGCACTTTGTGAAAGCACTGTGTTACGGGATTTCCTTATGTTCTTCTGTCATCGACATCCGCCGTACAAATTCAATGGGATGAACAACGCACGTCAACGGCCGGCCGGGCGGCTGTGCTGTGACAAAACTGAAGTGACGTTCAAGGCCGGTCACCAACCACCACACAATTTCGATCGAGAGTAAACAACTCACAGCAATTGTTGCCAAAAAATTTTGTTAACCTACGTCAAGATTTCAGTCAATTGCAGCATGAAAACTCAGATTAAATTCACCCAAACACGATTCCGAAGACAGGACGCCCACAAGAAGTCGCCATTTTCGGCCAGACTAGAGCATCTCAATAATTCCTGTGGGGGAGTCGATTAATTTTTCAGATGGGGGTGACATTTAAAACAATAAAGAAACAACAATCTTTTGAGAAATAACACAAATTAGATTGGATTAGATATTTTAAAGAGTTTTTTTTTTCTAATTTCGTATTTCCTGATGAGTAAACCTCATACAAATGTTGCATTATTTTATTCCCTCCTTTTTGTTTCACTTGTTTAGAATGCATAACGCTTATCGATACTATCAAGAACGCCCTCTCAAGTTCAATGACTGAAAACCTTTTCTGTTCCTGGACGCCGAAACGTGATTTCAATGCCGATAATATATCAAGGCTCAAGAGCCTGACTATTTCAGCAGAAATTTTTCCAGCTGGCACAGATCGTCTGAAAGCCGCTAATAATCTCTTTTAATTCTCACAATGACTTACATCAATTCATGGGAGGAATTTGCAAAAGCTGCAGAAAAGTTATATCTTACTAACCCGTCAAAGGTTTGTAAAATTGTGTTAGTGTCTGCGATTTCGTCGATCGTGTAGTTTGTACTGCCCGGTTCGTCATATTGATACTCATCATACACATTCGCGCATAGCCATAGGCCTATACAGATATTTCCATTTATTCCTACCGCCCATTGGCTAAACACGCAAGTTATTTGAGTTAACTTCTGGTGCGGTTCCAATGGTTAATGTGCAGTGGGCGTGCAAATGACGTCTCATCACACTACCGAAACAGAGAACAGAATCCACTTTTAATTTATTTGACTTACCCCCCCCCCAAAAAAAAACCCCCAAAAAACTATGCAGGTACAAATGTACATGTAGGCCTATGCTATGTTGTAGTATAGAGGGCAAGGTTTTGAACCTTTTTTTGAGGGAAATTTGGGGGTAACCGTAAAGTGATGATAACGATGACAAAACGTAACACGAAAACAAAGATGACGATCACTGCGATGTACTTGTACCGTGAACGCCCAACCAAGGGGCGCTGAATCACACAGCACCAACCTTAAACTACTTATGAAAATCGTTATTTCTACCCCAAGAAACTGTTCAGAATATCAAAAAAGGTGTCATTGGAAGTGAGAGAAGTCTGCTTTAGGTTGAAAAGGTCATTTTTGAATGATAGAAAACATTCTGGACTCTAATTTTATCGAAACTAAGGTACATTGTAAGAGGGGCCCTTAACTACACGATCGCCAATAGGCTATGTATAGTCTATGGAATCGCCCACCAAAACCATCAATTTAACCTCCACAAAGGATCCCAAAGTGCCAAATACGCCACTTCGGGATCCCGCAGAGATCGAGAAACTATTAGATGGTGTGACTTAGGTTAAGTTTCTGTTCTGATGAAAAGAGAAATTTCCTGTTCAAGTCCAAGATCTGCTGTTCATTCGTTGACATGTTCAGTTTTGATTCGTTTGAACACATTGAACAGCGAAGCTGTGACCTCGTTACAAACGAGTCCAGCGCTGGTGTGATCCCGAAGAACAAATGCGTACCCTGATCGCAGACAGTGTCTGACACAATTGCAGAATGCCCCACCACTCGATCTATCCACCTCGTCACGGTTGATTGTCCTCAATAAACCTTCTTAGTGCTACCTGTATGTACATGCATCATGCTCCCCAGCACTCAAACTCTGTATCCACCTAGCCGGCAACAGGGTACATGTACATGTAATTAGTGCGGACTTATATTATCAATTCCCATTCGTTTTGCATTCATTGTTCTCAAGGGACTTCCACTTCATTCTGTCTACAGCCACGTAGCCGGCAACACGGTACTTGCTTTGGACTTATAGATTTTTTTCCAGCAATTCCCGCGCAGCCAGATGATTTTAGGGGTTTATTTCCGAGGGGTGGGGTTTTCTGCAATTACTTCCAGTGTCTTTTCGGGAGTGCGAAATTGTAAAAGTAGAAAAACACAAGTAGGAAATAATGTTGGTTTGAAGAGATCAAGTTACCAAACTTAAATAGTATAACCTCAGGAAATTTAATTTTCTATATTTCTTATTTCAGGCCAGAATTGTGTTGAAGTACCGGCACTGTGATGGCAAGTTAGCTATGAAGGTCACAGACGACATTGTGGTAAGAACCTCACCCTCCCAGAACCAACAAAATCCACTAAAAGTTTTTTTTTGGGGGGGGGGGGATTTTTTAAGGATAAAGACACAGGTAAGCCCAGCTAGGGGATTAATGCCCCTTGAAATGTTTAAGTACAAAGAAGCAGCCCTTGGTTTCCTGCACACTTTAATAATCAGTGGTAGATGTTGGAAGATTTTGAACGTTCCTAGCAAAGGTGCCTTTTTGACTTTACTAGGTCTTCAATGAAAAAGAAAAGTTATTTGAGAGCTGATTTATATGTGTTGGAATGCAAAATATGGGTAATAGAAGAACGATAAAGAATGTTGTCAGATTCGAACCAGCAAACCGATCCCACAAGCTCGATTTACATTACCCCAACGCAAATTCCATCTTATGAAAAGAATATTGCGGTTGGCAACTTGTATATTGCATTTGCAGTGACTTACACTAATTTCACCAACAGGATTGAGTTTCTAGACTAGTCAGTCTGTGTAATTTGTGCGATTCACAATGCAGTACGCCACCAAGAGTTTGCCATGGAGAGTCAATTTTTTAATTTTACGATCGACAAAACATGGTCCATTGGAATGAGTGTCAGCAGACAGCTTGAGCTGATATAGATCAGGGCATAGCATTCTGCCGCGTTACAAAAACACCATATTTATACAAATAAAGGAAAGGGCAAACATAAACTTGAATCATACGTTCATGAAACTACTCACCGGAAACATTAACAATTTCAAATGTTCCGCGCTGCGAATTTGTGGACCATCTCCCACAATGCACAGGGAAAAATGAACTCTCCGTGGCAAACTCTTGGTGGCGCACTGCATTGTGCATCACCCGAATTCTGCATAATGCAAAATCAAATCTGTGAAAACTGTAGATATTACCACATGTCTTGCATCTCTATTGAGCAAAGTTGCACTAAGTCTAAGATGAATATTGAGAATTTTTGCTCTTCTCTCCAACTGCAGTGCCTTCAGTACAGAACAGAGCATGCACAGGACGTCAAGAGAATAGAAAAACTCAACGGCAAACTCATGAGACTCATGGTGTCCAAGTAGAGACTCACCACTCAAAGGCAACTCCGTGAAATGACTTTGCAAACAGTGTGTTAGTGTGGATGCAGGCTGATACGTTTCCGTGGGAAAGATGCACGTCACTGCTACAAGGACAGCACTGCGGCACTGCCCAGCATGTTGCCTCAGGGCGCATTTGGAGAGGAGGATTTTGTTATTTATATTCCCACTGGGAAAAGAATGTCTCTTGGTACAGCTTTGAAAATATTAACTTTTATTAAACTGACCATCTCTGCCGAAGTGTACAGCTCGCTGTTGTGACTCAGCATGCATGAGTAGGTTTATTGCACAGTCATGATATTGTTGATCGTAGCAGATCTATGCACAACGTCCGTACTGGAGAGAGAACAGCCAGTTCCATTTCCAATATCACCAAGCATCACCTCAGAAAAAAGATTAAGTCTAGGGACTAGACTTTGTTATGGCTTGATACACGATAACCCATCGCCGCAAGAGGGCGTTATCACGACCAACCAATATCACCCACGAATCCGTCAGGAACAACGTCTAGGGAGATCGGTTGTGTAATGCGCGCGCACCTGTTTGGCCTAATACATGTATATGCAGCGTGCATTCAAAAGATTTCACTGTAGTTCCGAACCAATATCTTAATTTCTTCCAGTAGTATAAAAGACACAGGAAGACTTTTGTGCAACTTCACTGGTCAGCTTTTTTGTGGTTCATAGTATGTGTGAGACTTCAAATAGACCGCAAAAGTAGCGAATGCGCACTATTTCCCCCCATTTTTCGGCGGGGGGGGGGGGGGGGGGAGATTTTATGAATCTCCCTAGACATTGCTTCTTATGGGTTCGTGGATGATAATGGTTGGTTGTGATTACGCCCTCTTACAGCAATGGGTTATTGCGGCGGCGGGTTATCGTGTATCAAACCATAATGACGTCTCGCCCCAAGACTAGAAAAGATGCTGCACAAAGTCTTCTTACATCATCTAGAGAAAGTTCATTTAAAGTATTTCCAAGTCGTTTGACTTCCTTCAATAAACCCATTGATAGTCGTAATGCTTGGACTATTTGACTATGCATATAAACAATAATGCTGTATAATTGTTTTACCCCACTTTAAGACTTACTCTTCGTTCAGTTTGTAGACCAAGTAAAATAAAGCTTGATTTACACATGAATTTAAGCCTATTCCTGTTGTTTTTGTGTTAACCTTGTGACATTATGTGAGACTGACATTTCTTATCAATAATTATTTAATGTGCTTTGTCAGTCCCTTTACTCATGATTTTTTTTTCTTCTTTAAGACCATTGGATGTATCCTTAATTCTTTTCCTAAGCAAACATAGGGAGATTTCCTGAAATAAAAATGAGAAAATAAGTTAGGTTTTGAACATCCGTGTCTTTCATCAGTGACTTGAATTGGTCCAGTTTGCAGGAGGTCCTTTGGTGCTTGGGACAATCCCGGCCAAAATGTTTGGGACACTTCCTGAGCCTGCCACGTTTACCCACTCCCCCGCTCCCCCGGTCAATGCTGTTCTCTCCAGCTGATGGAGCACACACTGCGCAATGAGAGACAACATCGAACGGGGGCTGGGGGGTTGGGGGCCCAGCGAGATTTGGTCAGGATTGGAGATTCGATGGTTGGCCTATAGACAGCCCAACACGACCATGAAGCCCCCTTTACTGGCAAAAACATTGTTCTCGCTGTTGTAAAGATAATCTGTTAAAGGGCAGTTGCTTTGTACAATAGCTTGCACAATGGTTTCTCCATTGAAGGGGGCCTCATGAGGGTACAGTGATCACGTGCCCAGGTGTGCTATCGTGCAAAGCTCTTTCCGTTTCTGCAGTTCTAAGCGATAGCACACGCCGCCTTGCACCACCGGAGCGTCTTATTAATGGAGCCGCAAACCACGGCAAAATTCGGGGCGTGGTCTTTATATTCTCAAGTAAACCACAGAGCTGTAGTACCAGGTGCGTATGGGGGGGGGGTCCCCCAGCTCTGTCGATTGTGTTTTTTTTTCATAGAAATTCATTAAAAGTAATGCGACCCCCCCCCCCCCCCCCCCATCTGACATCTTAAAAAAATTACTGGTAAGAATGTCCGCCTCGTGCACAAAATACGGACAGAGCCAGCTTGGTTAGGGGATATTTGTACACTGTACTGTACAGTGTTAAATAATCATTGTATTTGAACAGCCCCCCCCCCCCCCCCCCACACACACACACCTATTGATTTTCGGAGGCCTGGTGACCAAGTGTCCAGAGAAAAAACCTGGCTACATTTCAGGGTTTTTTTTTTGCTGATAGACCCCCCCCCGATTTTTTTTTTAAACCTAACAAACACCCAGGATCTGGATACATGGAATGCAATACAACTTTATCCCTTGATTTGTTCTTCACGTACCATTGGCCAATTAATCAAGCATGGCATATACCGTCTTTGCCACGTCGCACAGTTGAAGCCAGCTGTCACTGCTAAAAAAGGAAAATTCATCACCAACTTGCAAGAAACAATGCAACCAAATAAACACAAAACTACGTAACTCTGAACAAGGTACTGACGAAACCTTGGCCTTGTCAGAGATTCATCTCTACCCTAAAATCTTTTAGGAGTCTCGAAGGTCAAACAACTCTACTACTCAGTCGACCAAAGTCGGGCTACAGGTCAAACCTTAATGCAAATACACTTAGGCTTCATCTTCTTCGTCTGATATTTTGTTTCATATGGCCAGAGTCTTCCAAGTAGGGGCCTAAGACCTGAAGCCGAGGTTTCTTCAACTCCTAAGCAGCACAACAAAGTGCTGATGAGCAGGCTGCGTGAGTATGCGCAAGTGCAATGCGCGTCATGGCATTGTTCCCACTGTGACGTCTGCAGAGCGCCATGGCGCGTTTCGTTGGTTTCCCCATGCAAATTAGGCTCTTTTGTTTGTTTTGCGTACACATGTAAAACGCTGCGATACGTATCTAAACATAACATCAGTTATTCTGTGATCGAGTTATCAAGCGAAGTGTTCTCATACCAAAGCGATTTTTGTATCGATAGTTACCAACAATTTTACCGTTGCGAAAGCCATGTATTCCGTTATTCGCAAGTCGGCCAACTTACTTGTAGTCATCCTGGCCTGTTACAGCAGTCTGTACCTGTCTGGCTGTGTGCTCGGGAAATCTCCTGTCTCTCTGCCTTGCCTACCAACCATCGTGACATCTTGGCAGACAGGCAGTGTCGTCATCACTGACGCCACCGATGACTACTCTATCAACGATGAGAAGTTCAAGTTCTACCGAGAACTCTCATCTGTATGGGCGGAACTTTTCCGCTCCTTCCACCCAATGCCGTCACCAAGTAGCAAGCATGCCGCCACCAACGTGCTGCAGGACTTCATTGCCGATGTTGTCCATTTCCTGAACTCCTGTTGGATGAATTCAGATGCCCAAGCAGCGATGATCAGCCTAGCTACTTGGTACCTGTCCGTTGCGACTCTCATTGGGATTGCCTCTCGGGTGTTCTCGCCACGTCCTCGTCAAGTGGCGAGCCGCCCACGCGGGGACTCGTGTTTCAAGATTCCCGGACCGTCTTTCTACAATCTACGACATGGTCCGGTATCCGCATCTCCGCAGTCACACGTGTCCTGGCACCGTGTGACCTACCTGGGCTTGTACCTCATCTTTGGGGTACCCCTGGGTATCTGGTGGATCTACAGCAGACCCATCGTCCACCCATCTCAGTTTGGTGCCTCGTCTGTTCCATGGTCTTTGGCAACTCATCTTCTGAACCTGATCAAGTCTCTCTTAGAACGAGCCATCGAGATGTTGGACCAACTGAACATACAATCACCGTTAGCCAACACCAAAGGGCTGGGGTACTTTGTTGCTGCTGCCGCCCTGTGCTTCAGTTACCTGCTGGTGCTTGTTGCCTTGTCTCTACTCATGCAACAACCCAAACGGAAATACAGGCTCACTCATGCAAGGTAATTCAAAACGTTTTTTTTTATTTAACTTTCGGCTAAACTCCTGCTCTATTATAATGACAATTTGACCGGTTTTACTATTTTTTTCAATGTGGAAATCTTTGTTTGCAATTCCTTGGCAGGCGTAAGTGTTGCATGGAGCGGATGGGATCGACGCTCCGAGTAATGAGTTCCTCAGCTATCCTCGGTATCTTGACTGCCCTGAGATATGTTTCTCGCTGCATCCTGATACTTCCAACATCCAGGACAACATTATTAGCTCCTCATGCTGTCCCAGATATTTCAGGTGTACCAATTACAAAAGGTAACCCTTGTTCAAAAGCAGTTTTCGGATGACATAAGAGGCCATACGTTCAGAGTAAACATTATTTGAGGCCTACTCCTTTTTTGTTGCAGGGGCAAATATTGTAAGATGCAAAAACACTCACACAAGTAACAGCGACGGCAATAATTCGCAAACAAGACGAGCAAACCCACAGCCGAACACTGGGAGTGAGGGTGTGAGACACAACCACCAACATGATCAACAAACTGCAATTAACTTGAACGTCCACATTCAGCCGAAAGTCAAAGGAGAGACACTTGAATATCGGGAGCAAGTTCAGGATCAAGAAGAGGCAACGCAAGCGTTGGGAATTCAACAACGGTCAGGTGAGAACAGCCCAGATGACGTCCACCATCCGACGGAGTTTCAGCAACCTTCACCGAGAAAGTCGTTGTTTCAAAGAATGGCTGAAGCTCAACTACGTTTACAAACTCAAAGTGTGGGGAAACTACACAAAATGCTGCCAAATGAACTTCAAAAACAGAAGGTTAGGAAACAGGGCCAGAAACATGCCCAACAGCCTCAGGATCTAAAACGACAAGTCGAAAGCCGTGAACAGGCAGATCTGAAACAGCAAGATTTGAATACAACGGGTTGCTTCCGCTTCAACGCCTGGAACCACCCAGAGCTTCCTTCGCTGGACAACCACATCAGATTCTTTGCAGAACGAATACGGAAAGAGAAAGAATTTCAATCCCTGTCAGGTTCTGCAAATCCTCGAAATGAGCATCAGAGACGAAGAGAGGCTTCCAAGCAAGTGCGTCTAGACAAACAGCACGATATTACTCAACATCTGCACAGGCATGATGTAGATTCAGAGGGATGCCTGCATTTCAATTCTTGGCACAGTCGACGGTTTTCTCCTGTAGTCAACCTCCTCACAGTATTTCCTCAAAGGTATGCCGAGTATGATGGCAAGACTTGGTTCCAACAAAGCCCGTTTGCAAAACACCAAAGTGAGTCAGGGACTGAGTTTCAGCTGCAGGTAGAACAACTATGCCAAAAGAAAACACAAAAGCTGAAGACTTGGAGTCGCGGGCAAGAGCTGGTTCTGCAGCAAGAAGACCTGGCTGAACCAAAACAGCAAACTGAGTCCAGCAAGTTGGTAGAACAACAACCACAATATGAACTGCAAAAACGGTTACCGTCTCCAGAGGAGAAATCCAAAGAAAAGTTGGATCAGCAAGACCAGCAAAGGGCAGGCCCAGGTATGTGGGTCTAGTTTACTCCTTCCGCAGTACTATTGTCATAACGAAATTACAATGGAAGACAATTCAACCATTAATTTCATTACTTCTTTTATTTCCATCAATACGAAGAGCGCCTAATAATATTTATCTGTGCCTTCATTTTGGCGTAGCTTCCGAGCCTTCCGGCAACCCACTTAGCAAGCATGACATTCGAACGAGGAGACGCTCAGTATGGTTTGCAGACGACGCATCGCTGAAGGAAACTGCCTTCATCGTCAAGAACCCGTCAAGTGAAATCGTCAGTAACTCCGTCATTAAGCCGGATAGTCCGAACTCCAAGCCAGAGTCATGTTCCAAGACTTTGAAGGGAATTCTAGGTTAGTTTTGTGTTACACGGGAGTATCATATATTTACAAAATCATGAGTTCATGACTGAAAAACACACAGGATATTATATGATGAGTCGACTGTGGCCATTGGAGTGAAACGTATTTAGGCCTACCCGTTCATGAAACAATCGAAGACATTACGTTACTGACATGAAAATTGAGTAGTCCACGCGTTGTGTCACTGTTTGCATATGTCATCTGTTTGCATATGTCATCTTTACACCTGCAAGAGAATGCGGGGGCTAAGCATTGTTCCTGACTTGAATTATGGATCTACTGCTTACTTTTTATCATTTTACCAGCTGATGCCAGGCGTCAGCGTCGGTCTTGCCCTCGACCTTGGATCGCCCTCCCTCCTCTGCCCGGCGGTCAACGCAGAGCGCAACGGAGAGCTATCGCAGTCACTATGAACACTGAGAGATGCCGAGCTTGGGCGATAGAGTTGGAGAAAGAAACGAGAGCAGAATCATCATCAAGAGGAGCATCAACAAACGGAGACAGTGGAGACCGAGGGCTGGCGGCAACATGTGCAGGTTGACGATGATGCGTTCAAAGTAACAGGACAACAGCTCTTCCGTGAGGAGGGCGAGAGTAAGAACTCACGAAAAGAAAAAAAAAAACTTCACAAAAACACAAGAAAAGATCGAAGGCTGATGAACAGTGTGGTGACGATTAAAGTCATACAGCTACAACAAAACTCGTTTGAAGTCCACATGTACATGTGGTAGTATTTTGCATTGAACTGATCAACCTGTTTAAACTGCCTTGTGCATTGACAACAAGTCCGAGAATGATCTTTTTTAATGCACCAAAGTCATCTTAGCCGCGATTCAGACGAAATGGAAGCTAGTGTTGCTTATATACCGTAATGCTTCAGCAGCTATATTGAAAGTAACAAGTACTGTTTTTACGGGTAAAAAAAGGGGAAGACCAACACTAGTATGTCACAATTCGAGAACAGTGCACAAAATAATGAAACGATTTCGTAATTTAATAAATCGAAGTATTGATTACAATTATAAGCGCACTAATATCAAAAGACATTAAGGGAAACAAATCAATTATTTCATGCAGCAAACCTTTACTGTGGACTTTAGATAAAGTATAAAAAAAAAAGTCAACTGAAAAGCAATTACTGTTTTTTTTTAAGAATCCAATTCAGGTAAAAATGTTTAGTTATCACAAATGAACTCTTTAAAATAAATTTCATATAGTGCCAGAATGGCTAATTTATATTATTAATTGCCTGCTCAACGTTTTACTTTTTAAGTACAAACGAAGTAATTATAAAACATCAAAATTACAAAAAAGTACTCTCTGTCTGAGTCAATGTTCAAACTATAATAATAATAACACTATTACATGATTCTGAATGTTAATCTGCCCCGTCTCTTCACAACACAAACAAAATTATTTCAATCCATAAAGTGATAAACGTCTCTCTAAACCCTTTCTCTTTGAATGGACATTCAACGAACTGGGGGACTGCACTGGATCAATAAGTTGTTGCAGCGGCGTAGCCAGGGTCCTCATTCTAGGGGCTAGGGGTGCATGTGGGGGGGGGGGGATCAAACCCTCAACTTCATGGCCTACAATTTGCTCAAGTACTGAAGAATTTGAGGGCATGCACTCGTGATTTGGCCGGCGTAGGTAATTTCGGGCCGATTTACTGGCCTGCACCTAGACTGTTTACCGGCCCATGCACCTAAATATATTTTTGAAGTCCAAAGGACAATGGGGTCTGGGGAACCGGACTAGCCTGCACCCTTTTAAACAGCTACAGAAGATTTAATTATGTCTTTAGATGTAGGCCATGATAAGTTACCCAGAAGGGGTTTGCCCCAGTGTTTCTGGCAGTGGCTGCAATGTACGCCGCAGCACCTTGTAAACCATTATAAGGTGCCACATAATGGGTCTCATATTTCTCATAAACTTTATTTACCTTTCTTTAATAATTGACATAATTTCCAGCGCCTTGAGTACCTAATTGTTGGTAGATACGTGCGCTATATAAGACTCCGTTATTATTATTATTATTATTAATACCATCCCCACCGTCCTTTACAAGATTCTGTGAAGCTCGCCAGCCCTTCCCGGCCCAGCGTCCTAGGCCCAAGCTGCAGGGCGGGTGTACGAGCGAAGCGCTATGCACATCGGTGTCATGAACAGCGCCCCTAGTGTAATGCGGTGCATGTCCTGGTGAAATGTTGTCTACATTTTAAAAGTCGTGTTTTTTTGGAAATTAAGGATGAGAACTTCAAGTTCATATTTTTTTTCATGAAAATAATGTTTGATAACAGGCTGACGAAGGACTGTTGGGAACAGCGAACGGAATATGCATAGGCCTGATACAGTGTTCACAAACAAATCCGTAAAAAATCGTTTTCTTTTTAAAGACGTCCGTAAGATTTTAAAATAGTAGAAGGGGAGTTGAGAATCTGTGTCTGTCCAAATACAAAGAGTAGAAGTCAGGCGCGGAACCCTTGAGAGAGGTTTGCGCCCCCCCCCCCACCCCCCCCCCCCCCCACCCACGTTCTGATGCACACAAAAAAATGTACATTTATAACGATTATAATAATAATAAGGTCCACCTGTCCGCAACTATCGAATGTAAACATATATCTCTAACGGGCCTGAAACCCCCCCCCCGCCAAAATTCCTGGACTCCCGCCCCTGCACGCCTGATGTCTTTATCAAAAAAGGCCTGCATAATAATATATAGTTTCCATTGTTGCGTAACGAGAAGTACGATTAGCCCATGTAGGCCTACGACTAACGAAGCTGCCGTATACAATTTTCCAAAGAAATGAAAACAGTGGGCTCTTATTGCCCGAAATGTCAACTTCTTTTCGTCCATGGAGCCCAAAGAGAATGGACCCACCAGTGTGCCACGTTTTTCCGCCTATTATTTTTGAGAAGAACTCTAAGAAAGCCGAATGGCCTAGTGGTTAGATTCGTCGTCCACGCATGGCGCGGGGCACGGGTTCGAATCCCGTCGGTGTCTTTTTGGTTTTAGTCGCACTCGTACAGTCTTTATATAAGATGTTTAATTTCCTGTCGTAAATTACCAACAGTACCTTAGCTTAACCGGTAAGCACTGCTGCTGGTACTGTCCGCGAGTTCCAGGTTGGCGCCTTCGTACAGGTTCAGGGCATTTGGTCCACTCGGAGGATCAAGGTTTAGGGGCCGCCCTGTTCCTCCCTTAGCTCTTTGCTTTTACATGGTGCCTGGCCCTCCGGGGTTATATGGATGGATAGGGAAGGAAGTGTGTATTGGTCGGGGACGCCGAGACCCCGGAAGAGAACTAAGGGATCGGCTGGGGCATTGTTATGGCTCAGACCGATCCCTGAAAGCTTGACTAGCACATAACTTTTTGATTTTTTTTTAATCCTCTATCTTTTATACTTTGGTTTAGTTTGATATTTACATCTGCTCGGCAGATGTACGGTAGCTTTGAATACGATGCAGAGGCCTATGTCACGGAATCAATGAATCATAATTGACTATAATTAAAACGGAGTTTGGTTCGATCAATATGAGTACCATTATTAATGGCGCAATTTCCAATTGACGTAAGAAACGCGATGTTATACCGGGGAAAAATAGAGATGTACACTGTAATATATAAACATTATTTACATTTTTCAAATAAGGTTTTTTTAATTGTGAACATTTCCAACAAATACAGTAATTTGCAAAATAGGGGGAAACTACGAAAGCCCGTCAGTGCCAACATTTGGGACGGGGGAATTATTCTTTTTTGTGAATTTTTTTTTTTAAACTTTACAAAACGAAGGTTTGGTACCCGGGCATTGCCGTACTTCATGTCCATAATATACAAGTACGATTTCAGGCCATAGCGGAAGTGCCGTCTCTGGGTCCATGGTTTCATACAGGCCCCTAGTCTATTTTTAGAAACTGTTTGATTTATTTATTTAAACTTTTTTTTTTTTTAGAGGGTTTTTGTTTTTTGGGGGATTTTTTTGGGGAAAGTTTGTTTTTAAGGATTATTTTTTTTATTTTTTTATTTTTTGTTTTAATATCTATTTATATGATTTTTTTTCATTCCCCCCTCAAATTTCCGGCAGACATCACGGCTGCCGCGGCTACGGACACACGGAGTCTCCATTTGATTAGGCATTACTTTATTACCCCATGCGACAAGACAGCTGGTAAGTCACGTGTAGGGGTGGCATCTCAGGGGAAGGGCGCCGCTGACGGCAGGTAGGTAAAAAAAAATTAAAAAAACCCCAAAAAATTAAAAAAACAAAACAAATTAAACCCCCCCTCCCAAAATAAAAAAAAACCAACAAACAAACAAACAATTACACTCACATTTTTGTTTGGCACTAACGGGCTTTCGTTGAAAACGCAAGAAAACAAAGCCCATCACCCTTACAACTGGAAATACAAAATGAAAAACAAAATCCAGTGGAATACAAAAATGTACATGGACATTGAGGATTGAATTGGGAAAAAAAATCATTACATGGGGCTTTTACCGACTTGCTTTTTACTTTCAGTTACATGCGCCTATTTGCAGATTTAAAAAAAAAAAAAAATTGGGGGGGGGGGGGAAACCCCTCCCCTGCTCTGACACAAAAAGGTTAAGCTACTCTGCAGCGCTTTTTATGTATTTGACGGGCCTGATGATATTCTGACGGACCTGAACCCCCCCCCGTGCCCAATGCTAAAAACCAAACCGGGCAGATGCAGGAAAAGGGCAGATCCAGGAATTTTCGCGGGGGTGGGGGGGGGGGGGGGTTAGGTTGGGTTCATCGGCACAAACATCTGAGATGTAGACGGGTTTTTTTTCTCCGGACACTTGGCCTCCGAAAATCAAAAGGTAGTGAAGGGGGGGGGGTTGAGGTGCTCGTACCATACTTTTAATGGAGGCGCTGTTCAAATTCTACAATTATTAACACTTTATCACAGAATATATATATATATACCCCATAGCAAAGCTGCAGATGTCCGTATTTTGTGCAAAGCAGACATTATTACCAGTAAACAGTTTTTGCGTGTTAGAGCAGGGGTGGGGTCGCATTTTTTGCATGGTTTGAATGTATTGCATGTTTTTTTAGGGGGATAGAGCTGGGTCTGGGGTTGACCCCCAAACACCCCCCTGGATCCGTGCCTGCACCTCCTCGATCGTTTTGCCCAACACATGATCGAGTTGGTGTGCAATGTACCATACTTTCAATGGGGGCGCTCTTCAAATCCGACGATTCTTAACACTATATCACAGAATATACCCCCTAACAAAGCTGCCGATGTCCGTATTTTTGTGCAAAGCCGACATTATTACCAGTAAACAGTTTTTGCGTGTCAGAGCCGGGGGGGGGGGGTGTTTGCATTCTTTTCCATGGATTTCTATTTTTTTTGGGGGGGGGGGGGATAGAGCTGGGGGTTTTGACCCCAAACACCCCCACCCGGATCCGCGCCTGCACCTCCTCGATCGTTTTGCGCAACACAATGATCGAGTTGGTGTGCAATGACATCAGAGGTGACCCTGCATTTCTTCAGAAGCTTTCGGCAGCAGCACGTGCCTTCCGCCGCCATCTCCTGCAGTGCTGTTTCCTGTAAGGCTAACTAACCCCTTGCAATTTTTGTCAATTTTCTTCCAAAAATGAAAATGCTCCAAACTTCCTGGAAAGACTCTTAAGGAACCCTCGAACACATTCCATCTCGATTTAGGGACAGATATATCATTAAAAAGAAATTCATATTTTAGCCAATTTTCATGAAAACTGTAAGGCTAACCTCTTGCAATTTATGTCAATTTTCGTCAAAAATTGAAATTGCTCCAAACTTCCTGGAAAGACTCCTAAGGGACCCTAGAACACATTTCCACTCGATTTAGGGACAGATATATCATTAAAAAAAGAAATTCATATTGTAGACAAATTTTGTGAAAAAATGTAAGGTTATTTTTGTCTATTATCGTCAAAAAATGAACTTGCTCCAAACTTCCTGGAAGGACCCTTAAGGGACCCTGGAACGCATTCCGACTCGATTTAGGGACATATATATTATTAAAAAAGAAATTTATATTTTAGCCAATTTTTATGAAAAATGCAAGGCTAACCCCTTGCAATTTTTGTAAATTTTGGTCAAAAAATGAAATTGCTCAAACCGTCCTGGAAAGACTCCTAAATGACCCTGGAACACATTCCAACTCGATTCAGGGACAGATATATCATTAAAAAGAAAATCATATTTTAGCTATTTTTTTATGAAAAATATTAGGCTAACCCCTTGCAATTTTTGTCAATTTGGGTCGAAAAATGAAATT